GAGAGACCAGGGGGAGGGTCTGGGGGTGTCTGGGTGGGGTGGAGACGGAGGGAAAGTGGGGGTGGGGGTGGGGGTGGGGAGCGGAGTGGGAGAGAGATCTGACCAAGGGCAGGTGAGGGGTCTGGTGGGGTAGGGGTCTGGGCAGGATGAAGGTAGGGGAGAGGATCAGAAGGGAGCTAGCGACAGCCTGGGAGCGGGTGGACCCCCAGGAGTCCCACTGCCAAGGGCAGTGACCCTGGGGAAGGTCACCGCCCGGGGGAACCAGTGGGCCTGGTGTGAGGGGTGCGGTGGAGCGGGCCGAGCTTGTCCTGCCATCTCAGGTGTCCAGCGGTTCCCTGGGGCCCAGCTGGCCTGTGACCCTTAGCAGGCGACCCTCTGCCCCGCAGCCCTAGCCCCTACCTAGCCAGAGGTGGGCGGAGGCGCCTCCATCTCAGGCAAGGCACAGACAGCACCTGCCGGGGTGCCCTAGATGGCTAAGTGAAGACAGGCAGGGTCTGCCTCGGCTCAGACACCAGCTCCCGGGCACCCTGAGGGGAAGGCACAGTCACCAGTGGGGCCTCCTATCTTGGCCACCTAGACTGAGAGTGGCCAGGTGTCCAGCTGTGTTCTTTCAGTGAATCACCTGTCTAGTGATCACCTACTGTGTTCTGGGTGCTGTTTTCGGTGCCGAAGATAGATTGTGAACTAAAAAGACAAAATTACTGCCTTGAGGGAACTTACATTCCATTTGGGGGAAAAAAATAAGCAATATAAAGTAGTAAACTAGAAGGTAAAAATGGTTATTTGAAGAAACAGAGAAGGATCCAGTGAGGAACCTAAAGGGTTGGGACAGGCAGGTGGCTCACGCCTGTAATCCCAGCTACTTGGGAGGCTGAGGCAGGAGGATTGCTTGAGCTCAGAAGGTGGAGGCTGCAGTGAGCAGTGAATACACCATTGCACTCCAGCCTGAGCAAGTGTTGCCATTTAAAATGGGGCGGTAAGGGATGGCTTAACAGAGGTGGCACTGGACTTGAAGAAGCTGAGAGGGAACCAAGAGGCTATCTCTGGGGGAGGTAATACCCCAGGCAGAGAACACCACAAGTGTGAAGGTGCTGGGGTTAGAGCACATTGGGTTGAGATGGAGAAATGGCAGAGGCCAGAGGGGCTGGGGTGGAGTGAGGGAGAGGGGCTGAGGCAGGAGATGAGCTCCTACAGGCGGGCATGGGAGTTCTTTTTTTTTTTCTTCAGACGGAGTCTTGCTCTGTAACCCAGGCTGGAGTGCGGTGGTGCAATCTCGGCTCACTGCAACCTCGGCCTTCCGGGTTCCAGCGATTCTTCTACCTCAGCCTCCCAAGTAGCTGGGACTACAGGCGCACGCCACCGTGCCCAGCTAATTTTTGTATTTTTAGTACAGAGGGGGTTTCACCACATTGGCCAGGCTGGTCTCAAATTCCTGACCTCGTGATCCGCCCACCTCGGCCTCCCAAAGTACTGGGATTACCGATGCGAGCCGCCGCGCCGGGCAGAGTGTGGGAGGTCTGTGTAGTGCCTGCTGGGCCATTACAAGACTTTGGCTTTTACGCTGATGGCGTGGAGCAGCCGCGCAGGGCTTTTCACAGAAGAGGGGCGTGATCAGGCTACACTTTAGGACTACCACTGTGGCTGCGGTGTTGAGAACACTGCCAGGGAAATGGCTGTGGCAGTGGCAGTGTTGGATTCTGGGTCCTGCGCTTGAGAGTGAAGCCGTCAGTGTGGAGGGGTCCGTAGCCCGCGCAGTCAGAGGAGCCACTGAGCGTCAGCGTCATCCCTTCTGGGGGCCCCTTACCCCAGCTTTCCAAAAACAATCACACGCAGGTTCTCATCCCCACCACAGCCCGCAGTTTACGAAGAACACACATTGTGGACCTCAGTTTACCATTGTGGAGACTGAAACACACACATTTAAGAGCGGTGAGGAGGGAAGACCAGGAGACGTTTTCTGACGTGACCAGTGTCACTTTCAGGCACCTCAGGGACTGCCGAGGTGATGGAAGTTGAGCTGCAGGCCCTAGGCCCTGTGGCCAGCCCAGGGAAAGGGGAATTCGAATGTTCGAGTTTCAACAGGGGACCCTTTAGTGCCCTGGCCCTTAGCTTCTGCCAAGACGAATGGGAAGGGAAGGAGAAGAATTCTCCAGAGCCGATGTTTCCTCTCTCTCGGCACCCTCCTGTTCTCCCAACTCCAGCCTGTCCAGATTTGCTGGGAATATTCTCTGCCTGATCCAGCAGACAGATTCCTGGGCCTTCTTTCAGATGCAGGCCAAAGGTCACGGAGAAGTCTTGCTTAACATCTGACGACCCTGTGTGACGGCACTTGCTGTGTCCCTCTGGGAATGGGCAGGGTCTTACTGATGACTAACTCATACACTGCCTCAGTCACCACCCTGGAAGGTGAATGACTAGGGCCATCCGTCTGCCTCCCCAGCTGATGAGATGTCTTCACGAGGGCGGGTGCTGCCTGGGCCACGGCATTTAACCTCCCCAGGCCTCGGTTCCTCGGCTGTGATACTTCCCGCCTGGAGCTGGTTGAGGAGGAAATGAGGAGATACAGGTAGGACACATAGAACAGTGCCAGTGTGCCAACGGAGTGCCGTGTCAGCTGTCAGTCTGTGTCTCTCTGCCTCTTGCACCCCACATAGGGCCTGGCACATTGTGGAAACTTAAAGGAACAAGGCTGGAGTCCCCAAGGTCTAGAACCAGCCTGGAGTGCTTTTCCTTAGGATGTGACACCCCAATGAGGAATCCATGTCACTACACTCCAGGTTTCCACCTTCCCACCCTGCAGGGGCCCAAAGCCAGAGTATTCTTCAGACCATGTGCTTGGGCGCAGAGGTTGCTGGGTGTGGGGCTTGGGAGCAGAAGCTGACAATCATGGTCTGCCTGAAGCAGGAGAGAGAAGGAACCCTCTGGGCCGTCGCCATGGGAGCCTGAGAGCTGGGCCCTGGGGCCTCTGGCTCCTTCCTGCCTCTCCCTGCCATATTCTGCCCTCATCCATGGCTGGCATGGCAATCCTAGAAAGGCACAAGTGGTCCTATGAGGACAAAGTCCCTGGATGGTTCTCCAGGTGTGTTTACCTGCAGGCAGCACTCAGGTAAACTCAGGAGTGAGAAGGCATTCATGCTCATAATAGTAATTAAGCCAGTATCTTTTCCTCTAGGCATTCAGGTAGTACAGGTTAGACAAGGATGTGAAAAATCACAGCCTATAGGCGCAACCCCGCCATGGGGCCTGGGGTGCCTGGCAGGAAAGAAGTGGAGGACAGCTGGGAAGGGAGTCTGACTTCTGGCCAGTTCCTTAAGAACAGCTGGGGTGCCGGGAGCAGTGAAGACAGGCAGTAGACTCCTTCCAAAGGCCAGTGCAAACAGGGGCTTGTGTAGTCTGCAAACCTCCCAGTTCTCAACTCCAAAAGTCTAGATTCGATGCTCAATCAGAATAAGGGAAGAGGTGAGCAG